AAATGGATTGGGGGGGGGGGGGGCGTTGGGGAACCGTCAGGAACCCAAAGAGGCCTCACTCAGACTCAGCCGAGATCCAGATTTCTTCTTACCAGCTACAGGTGATTAAATTAGGTGGTCAATGCAGGGGAGATAAGATTATCGTTGTGGCCAATGGGTCTCTGTTCCTTTATGTACTTGCAGAATGATATCACGGATCGTTTTGTTCTGCGGCCTTTGGGCTGTTTTGCCTCAGATAAAGCAACTGAAGATAATACATAGATTTATTTTTGTTATTGATTCGAGTGGAATCTTGTATCTTCACAACAACCCTGCAAGGTCGGTTAGGCCGAGGACTTAACTATATATTACACTGTCACCAGGCCCTTTTTGGATCTACACGGTACATGTGCATGCTAGTTCCCTGCTGGGAACTCAATTCCCAGGTCCACAGTCCGCAATTTGTCTTGGGACGGGCAGATGGAGAAGGTTCTTTGGTCGTGTTGTATACTAACACATGGTGGGGCTCGCACCTGGCCAAGCGAACAAGCAGAGCTTCACAACTTAGAACAACAGAGTCAGAGGATCCTAGAACGGACCAATCGGTCAGTCCGGATCCTAATAGGGACCAGTGGTTATGGGTGCACTGTAAATAAACCAATCACGGGTGTTGGGTGTGTGTCAGGGGGCGGCCTGTTCCGGCATTTAAGCAGGCCCCCCTGGGGCCGGCTTCTTGTCTCAGTTTGTTCCTGCCTTTAATAAATCATGAGCTGATTCACTACCAATGCGTCTGGACCCAGTACTTTACAGGTCTTCCCTTCTGTGTTGCTTCCCCAACCTAAACTGACCTGGGAGAGGTGCTGTTTACCCTGTTGGTCCAGCCAACTACACCACAGGGGCTCTCACTCATGAAAGCCTAGGGCCATAACAAATCTTGTCTGTCTGTGTTACGAGGTTCTGTTTCAGTTTTACTAACAGTAATACGTGAGAATCGGGGGGGGGGTGTGACGGGATGACTCAGGTTCACCAGTCTCCAGTTGTTTAGGAGACATCTGTAATTATAACTGCTCTCCAGGTTAGACATTCACATGAAGCTGCCTTATACTGAATCATACCCTTGATTCATCAATGTTAGTATTGTCTACTCAGACTGGCAGTGGCTCTCAGGCAGAGGTCTTTCACATCACCTTCTGCCGGGGCCCTTTAACTGGAGATGCTGGGGATTGAACCTGGGACCTTCTGCATACCAAGCAGATGCCTTACTACTGAGTCATCAGTCTCCCTGAAGAAAATGGCTGCTTTTGAAGTTATACTGTATGGTAATATACCGCACTGAGGTCTCTCCTCAAACCCTGCCTTCCCTAGGCTCCACCCCCAAAGTCTCCTGGCATTTCCCAGCCCAGAGATGGCAACCCCAGGGGGAGCTGAGGATAACATATCTGATGAAAGGAAAGCTTCTGACATCTACACCACAGCAATGCCCTGAAGTATTTGAAAAAGTGGGACCCAGTCTACAAAAGCTTAAACTGGTAAAAAAAAATCATTTTTTTTTGTTCAAAAAGGTTTTTATTTTCCATTGTTCTCACCTTTTACATCTTTTTATCAATCAGTTATATATTCCATTTTCCCTCCCTCCCCCAAAAGGCTTCCCACAATGCATTTCCCTCATGTCCCACATAGATAGATAGATAGATTTAAGATAACATCATGTAGTTAATATTGTTCTAGACAAAGTAAATTTTGCTTCACGTCCCAGTTCTTTTCCAGATATATTTTGAAGTCCTTCCATTCTTCATAGAATTCTTGGTCCTCTTCATTGTTCAATTTTCTGGTTATTTTGTCCATTTCAGCCATGAACAGAACTTTTTGTATCCACTCCTCCAGATCTGGTATTTTTTCTTGTTTCCAGTATTGGGCATATGTCATTCTTGCTGTTGTTATCAAATACCAGAACAGAGTCCGTTTTGTTATATTTAGTTCTTCCATTTTTAAACCTAAGAGCAGAATTTCAGGTGTCTTCTTAAAAGAACATTTTAGAATCTTTTGCATTTCACTGTGGATTTTGTTCCAAAAGTCTTTAGCTTTATCGCATGTCCACCACATGTGATAAAATGAGCCCTCATTTTGTCAATCTTCAAGGTGCCACGTGATCCCTGTGCATTCATAAAAATGTTCATTTTTAAGGTGCCCCAATAATACTTTTTTGTTTTGGCTGTTAACAGATGCAGCCCAGCCACCCTCTGGAATCTGGATCATACCTGGCAGAATCTCTTGGCTGAAGATGCAAGCAGATAACTATCAAAATGGACCCTTCATCCCTGTTATGCTCACAAAAACTGGTAGGATCCAGCTAACCAAGTACTGTCAATTGATTAAAATCTGGTATCGACCATCTGCCTTTCCTTGGTAGCATTCCAACACAAAATGGTTGATTCCAATACAAATGAAATAAAGGGGAGGTCCAACCCCCTTTATTTCAGCATATCGGTCCTGATTTTAAAAGTACCCATCTCTTCAGCCTATGCAGTGAGAACCCTTTTCTTATTTTCACGCTTGTAATTTGCTGCATTGGGAGGGAAGACAGCATAATACAGCCCAATCTTGTCAGATCTCAGAAGCTAAGCAGGGTCAGTACTTGGATGGGAGACCACCAAGGCAGGCTCTGCAGAGGAAGGCCATGGCAAACAGCCTCTGCTTCTCACTTGCCTTGATGGCCCCCTGCTGGTCTCTCCAGAAGTCGGTTGTGAGTTGAAGGCATCTGCGTATGAAATTTGCTGCTTTATTATTCCAGACCTAGTTTTATGTTTACTAGCAAACTGCATATTAGGCGACACACCCCTAATGTAGCCAGTCTTCCAAGAGCTTACAGTAGCCCCTGTAAGAAGAACTCTGTAAACTCTTGGAGGATTGGCTGCATTAGGGGTGTGTCGCCTAATATGCAAAGGAGTTCCTGCTACAAAAAGAGCCCTGGGCCCTTATCTGAGGTACATAATAAAAATTATTATTGGATTATTATCACTATGTATCAGCCTTGGATATTGCAGCCTTTTTTGTTGTTTCAGAAAGATTCATGACATTTCATCCAATTTTTTGTGTGCTGACAGTGGGATTATTTATAACCCCCATTTTGAACCATTCTTTGTAAATCACACAAAATATCCTAATCCCTCTCCCTTATTTATATTTGCAGTTATTTCACCCATTATTTGTTTCAGTGACTTAACATCTTACCAGCTTTACTAATAAACATTCCATTTAGATCTTGGAAAAGTATCTGCTGATGAAAGGGATACTCTGTTTTCTGATAAGGTATATTTGGTAATGTATTTATTTACAACATTTGTATCTTGCCTTTCTGCCCTGTCAGGGCCACCAACACAGCTAACAAAACGAAGCATTGTAAAAACTTTATAAACCCAATTAAAACCAAAACTATAACACACATGTAAAAACAAATAGAGGTGCCCTTACCTGGATAGCCCTGGCTAACCCAATCCCATCAGATCTCAGAAGCTAAGAATGCTTGGTACTTGGATGGAAGACTACCAAGGAATTCCAGAAAAGAATTCCAGAAAGGCCATGGCAAACCACCTCTGAACATCTCCGGCTTTGAAAACCCTGCGGGGTTGCCATGCCTTGCCTGCAACTGGATGGCACAAAAACAATACACACACACACACACCCGAGACAGCCCTTAAAATGTTGGGAAATGAGGGCTCACTGAGGGAATGACAAACAAAACAAAAAAGTTTTCATCTGCTGCTGGAAGAAAGTGATAGAAGGGGGCAGATAACTATCCCTGGGGAGGGAGTTCCATAGTTTTTGTGCCATGACCAACAAGGCCCTGTCTGGAGTTGCTTACCCATCTAACCTCAGAAGGCAGCTGAAGCAGGGCCTCAGAAGATTACTATGGAAGTCAAGTAGGTTTGTGTCGTAGGCTAGCTTGATCAGCCTGAGTCAAGGAGCCACATGCAGCCAGCTCTGAAGCAGCTAACATTAGTGAATTATATATACAGGAGCCTCAAGATTCATTGCCGGCAGCTGGCCTTGACTCACCCACTCACAGCTCTGAAATAGCTGACGAAGCACAGATGCAGGAAAGTAGCCCACCAGGCTCCCCTGTAAACTGAACAGCAAAGGGAGAAACGCCAACAAAACTTAAGAACACCCAGGCAGGGAGAGTACTCACCTCTTGGCTGGGCGCCAGCTGCTCAATGATAATAGTGGTCTTTCTCAGTAAGAAAGCAATGTGAACTATTTTAGAGGAGGCATAATAACAAGCCAGTGAGGTGGATTAGACTGAGAGTGTGTATCCAGACGAACTTCACCCCCTTTGTAGGAAATTGTAGTTATTTCTCTCGGGAAGAGTATAGTTTTGTAGACAAACACATGGCCCTCAGTATGTGTTAGGATGCCTTCTCATGTTCTTGACAAGCACATAAAACAACTTAAGTACAAAAGGTTGCAATGCCCAGCCATGTCATGTTTTCCCCTGGGGAAGAGTATAGTTTTGTAGACAAACACATGGCCCTCAGTATGTGTTAGGATGCCTTCTCATGTTCTTGACAAGCACATAAAACAACTTAAGTACAAAAGGTTGCAATGCCCAGCCATGTCATGTTTTCCCCTGGGTCCTAGGTAGGGTTGCCAAGTCTTTTGAACTCACCGGCGGGGGACCATCTGCTGGCTTGGGACCCGTGCGCGCGCCGGCTGCACGTCACAGGAAGTGACGCAGGACGTAGAGTTTTCCCTCTGCTGATCGGGGCCACGCCCCCAACGTGCTCTACGTGGTTCGGGGTTCCCCCCGGGGCCCGATTCCGCGGCGGCAGAAATCGGGCCTCCAAAGCGGGGGTTTACCCGCTCCCAC